ATATTCTTGTTATAAAAAAGCGCGCCTACACATTCCGTAGCACCCATAATCTAGGTTTAAGGTGCTGTTTAGCTCTTAGCTTTCACATCTCAGTTTCCAACACTTCTCTACTCCTGTGTAAAGGGATGTTTATTTCTGGAAAGGGAAGGGGGAAACCAGGGCATTACACTTGAATTAAGTGTATGAAATTGCAATGAATTAAACAGGGCAACGTGTTTTTAAAATGAAATATGCAAATTTCTTCTAGTACTGTTGGAATCTATGGATTTGATTTTGGTCTCTAGGTGTGTTTCCGCCCCTTTGCTTAGGTATGCTATTTCCCTGTGCAAGCTAAGCCAAGCCAAGCACAGACACAAGTATCAAACCACATTCCATGCTCCCACGACTCTAGGGAGGGCCTGTGTTTCAAAAACAATTAAGAAGTAATATACATGGAAGTGGGAAGATTAGAAGGGAGGGGAGCAGAGAAAGGTTTCTTACAGAGGTACAGCCATGCGTTGAGCACCAGCCCTTACTATGCAAATTTAGGCAGGTTTCCCTGCTGCTGTGTCTTGTGCAAGCGCAGTCCAACTTTCAGTAGAAACTGCTGCTGTGCATCTGCTGTCAACAAGACTTCCCATGCATCCTATGCTGCCTAAGGACAGAGCTCCAGTTTTATGGCACTCTTGGAATGACCCACATGCTTTTGGTATTCATGGATACAGTGGTACCTCTGGTTACGAACGCTTCTGGTTATGCATGCTTCAGGTTACGAGTTCCGCTAACCTGGAAGTAGTTGCTCCTGGTTGCAAACTTTGCCCTAGGATGTGAGCGGAAGTCGCACGCCAGAGGCACACGTGCAGTGGGAGGCGCCATTAGTGAAAGCGTGCCTCAGGATAAGAACAGTTTCAGCTTAAGAACGGACCTCCAGAATGAATTACTGTAAGTTCGCAACCAGAGGTACCATTGTATGTGATACAATATATGCGTACACAAAGCAGAGCCAATAGGGTGATTCACTTCTTCACTCACAGCTGCCCCATACCCCTTAATTTTGAACATTTCTATCTAGATAAAATGTAAATAGTTTATTGCTTCAATTAACTTGGAATTCCAAATAGTTGTTGGCAGGGGCGGACCTGCATTTTTGGGGCCCTGAAGCTTGAACTGGGGCCCCCTTTGCAACCAGCAACAAAGTTTGGGTAACCACTGTTATCTTCTTCAGTGGGTTTGTTCCTTGACAGATCACCACATTAAAAGAAAGAAAAAAAGGTACTACTTCTTAGATTTTTATTAAAATTGCTGCATTGGATTATCTCACATATCAAAGTCACTGGTGTGAATAAAAAATTATTATGCCTTATAGTTTTTGAGGTATAGCTCAGTTGGTAGAGCATGAGACTCTTCATTTCATGGTCATGGGTTCGAGCCCCACTTGGAGTGAAATATTCCTGCATTGCAGGAGGTTGAACGAGATGATCCTTTTGACTAAAGATACCTGGGATCTTCTGCATGCAAAGCATGTATTCTGCTAGCAAACTGTGACCAGTTCCTCAAATATAGCAATACAGGAACATAGGAAGCTGACTTATATCAGGTCAGCCCAGTGTTGCCCGCTCTGACTGGCAGGAGCTCTCCAGGGTCTCAGGCAAAGCCTGTGCATTTTGAAATACCCGGACACCTTTATCTTTTGGAGTGGGCGGGGCAGTTGAAATTCTGGGTTAACTATTCAGTTGTCTTCTGCTGGGCTGCCAAGAATTTTAAAGGGATCAAGTTGCCCCCCCCAAAAAAAAAGTTGTTGTTTTTTGTTTTGGCACTTCCATTTCTAACTTCAGTCCAGGAAAAAGAACTTTTTGGCTTCAAAATTTCCAGGCCTGCTATTCCTCAAAATGAGGTTAAGCATAGAATGTGCCAAACATTTCCTCAAATGCTGTTTAGTACAGAAAGGAATTCAAACGTTTGCAACTTGTTTTGACTAAGTTTAGGGAAGTGACCTGATCCATTTAAACTAAAAAACTAAGCAGGGTCCTATTATATACTTGCTAAGCCTTCCCGCAATGTGTCTGTAAGCAGTTCCAGCTAGAGCTGAGATTTTTTATTTGGTCACATGAGCTAAGTGAACTCTTGGAGACACACACACACTGTGTGTGTGTGTGTGTGTGTGTGTGTGTGTGTGTGTGTTCATTCTACATATGTTCAGTCAGTGACCTTCGTCTGAGGAACTCAGGGATTTTTACAGCCTTTCCCCACCTTAAGATACCTGTTTGAATTTCTGTGTGTTCAGAATAAGGTTATAAAAGCATAGTGATGGTGCTACTAGAAGGAAAATTACATGGGTGTGGTATATCTCAGTGGTCCTACTTCACCAGTAAGGAGGAAGATGGAGAATCTGTCCATTACATCATAGTTGTAGCAATTGAAGCAGGGTCTTTCCCCTTGACTTTAGGGAACTTCCTGTAGTAGTCCGTGCTCAGGCTTGCAGGACTTGAAAGCCAGAACCGTGTCTTTAGCACAAATTGATAGCAGTGAAGTTCAGAAAGAATTTGGTGGTTTGGAGGCTTTGTGGAGAGCTCCAGGTAGAAGCTGAATTGCTGCATTTTTGAGCTAGTTGAAGTTCCTTTGTGGTTTTTAAGGTCAGCCCAACATACACTGCATTTTACAAGCCAAGTCATGTGTATTGTTGCAAACCAGTATTATTTAAAATATAGGAACAGTAATCCTTGCTTTGTCTTAAAGGGATGTTGTGAAGCATCTTAAGATGATATATGTGAGATGCTCTGAGCACTTGGAGTGCCCTATATAAATGTGCATTGCTGCTTGAAAGGACGCTCTCTACTTATGCCATCTTCTGCTTTATTGTGTTTTGTTTTTAAAGTGTCTCATTTCCACTTCATTAATTCTAATTTCTGCTTGAGTTCATTCAGGCTGAAACAGAAATCACAGTCCATACCATGGTGATCTTGCAACATTTGAAGCAATCAGTATTGCTGGTTTAGTGCATAACTTTCAGAAGTCATGGTAGTTTCTGGAACAGGTCTAATCAGCAAGTGATGGGTTGTTCAAGGAAGAAGGGGGCAGAATTAGAAGCCTGTTCTGGTGGAAGATAATGCTTTTTCTTCCACCCCGTCCCACTCCTCTTCAGCAATTTCGTTCTTCCAGATTATTTCCCCAAACAAGTAGCCTCCAGCTGTGGCAGAATAGCCTCAAGGCAGAACACACATCTTAAACAATGTTTCTGCCAAACCAAACTCCTTGTTTGTTTGTTTGTTTGTTTGTTTGTTTGTTTGTTTGTGTGAGTGATTGCATTTGGAGCAGCAGACATGGGTAGATAGATGAGCATTGCTTTCTAGAGATTTGTGGGAAGCCTATTCTCTATACTCAGTTTTGTTGACCTATGATCTACATCTACAACTACCTCCATGAGCATATAGCTGCATTCTGTTGTACCAACCTTGTTTGTGTGGCTTGGAGTGTGAAGCCAATGCAGGAAAAGGATTCATATATACTTGGGTGGAGGTGTTTTACATCAAATCTTGATCAATGGGAGTATGTTCTCCTTGTGCCTGTTTTTGTTTTTGTTTTTTTGGTGTGTGTAACGAAATTATTTCTATTAGTCATTCCCACATTTCAGAATAAGAATAGCGGTATAAAACAGAAGCATGGGATGGAGTTAAGACTAGACACAGATGTTTAGCAATGCATTAGGACAAGGTTAGATTACAACTTACCCTAGCCTGACCCCTGAGCAGAGAAATTCCTGCTTTCATTTTATAGGTCATGTGTTAAACTTAATACGCTCTGGCTCACTCAGTGTAGTGTAAGGATATCTGGGGAACACAGGGAGAGAAATAGAGAGTGAGACATTTGCAGAAACGGAATGAAATGTGTGGGATGCAGTCCCAGGCTTCTACAGCAGTGAACATCAATCACACCTTCCAAGAACAGGGTGGACCTGGTTCTCACTGAGGTGGCAAAGTTATGTTTGGGCTCTGCCACGTCAACTGTCCCGTGCTATGAAATGGCCACCCACTGAAAAAGAAAAAGGTGTGTACATATAGATATATGGCATGCCAGAAAGAAGCCTTGGCTAGAATCTTCTTCCCTGAATCCTTGTGCTTGAATCTTGCTTGTGGGTTGCCTACAAGCCTCCGGGCAGCTACCGTGAGAACAGAATGCTGGACTAGATGGGCCATTGGCCTGATTCAGCAGGGCTGCTCTTATGTTTTTGTGTTAGCTTTCACATAAAGCCTGGAGTGAAACAGCAGAGACATCTGTACTAGGCCACAGACTTTCCCATCATGTCTCAAGTTTCTCCCACCTCCATTCCAACCTTCCTCCCAGAACAATTGTAATTTGACTGGAAAAAGCAAATGGGGCTCTGTTATGACAAACGCACACACTACTACTTTTGCTACACATGGACTTGTTGATATGTGCTTTTCATCTTTCTCTACAAATTATTTAAGATTTTTACCATCCAGGTAGAACTTGAGTTCTGTATTTATTGAGAATGGTTTATGCAGGCTCTCTGCCCCACCTTACTTTATAGATTGGCAGACAATAGTAGATGACCCAGTGTACAAGGCACTATGTTCCATGCTTACAGAAAGTAATTTCTTCTTTGTGGTTTTCTGTGGTGCATCAAAGACAGGTTATGTGCCTGTACAGAACAGCATTTGGAATCTTCCAGAGCTAAGCAACTGAAACATTTATGTAGGCCACAAATGACTAACACAGGTAGGTATAACTAGACAAGCAAATTTTTAAAGAAATGTTAGCTGGGCTAGTAATTTTTGTGGATTTGTGTGTGAGAGAGAGAGAGACTCTGGCTTTGCTCATTATCAGAACATCCTGAGAATGCTTATTGATTGACTCATTTCTTTAATGCCACTGAAGAACAGAAGCTCAATGTATAGCTTTTAATTCATTATGAGATTATAAAATTTTGTAGGGGAAAGGGAATGCTTGTGGCAATGCAAACCTGTTTTCTCAAATGTGTCCTGATGTTTTGCTATGTTTAGGTTGCCACCAGAGAAGTTGAGCTGCCAGAAGCTTGCCCTGTGAATCTTCAGGCGTTCTTATCTTAATGGATTGCTGCAACCTACTAATCTCTCCATTTGTCCACTTCCCTGTTTCGTGAGAATATTAGCCAGCACAGATCCTGGGAAAGTTACATGTAAGTCCTGCTTTTGATTCCTATTTCATCAAAAACAAAACAAAAAAACTATGCAAAGAAGTGGGGGGTTTTTCCCAACTGGTGGGGGGGGATCCATATAGCACTTGTTAAATCATCCTAAAAGCTGTAATTCGTCAGATAACATTAGACTGTGAATAAATTGATCTTGAAGTACTTATTGTCTCTTTAAAAACTAAATGGAGAATGTAATTTTGTCAATTTGTGGGCTTCCTAAGTATGTTTTCTGCCACAGCTGAACTTGTCACAAAGTACTTTATAAATAGCTTAGGCTTTTTTAGCTTAGGCTTTTTTCTCAAAAGTAGGCTAAGTTGATGTGGTGTGTGTTTGTGCATATATATGCGCAAAACAGGGTAATATTTCAGTTGAGGTGTGGAGAGGTTGTACTGATAAATCACTTCTCAGAATCAGCCTACAGATTCAGCCAGACATCTCTCCCCCCCCCCCCCCCAATAAAAAATACAGTGTGGCAACTCCTGCATTTCAGTACCCAAGTATTGGCATTTTGGGGAAATCAGGGTTTTCGAAGCTTCCAAAATATACAGAGCTAGCTACATGGCAGATTCCTGGTTACTTATTTCTGTGCAAGTAGCTAGTGTGTGTTAACAGAAGAAACTAGTTGCTTGAATCTATCCCTAATGAAACAGTTGCATATAAAATGTTTACCACGTAAACACACTAGATGGATGCCTTTGGTAGCACACTTCAAATGGTGCTTAGGTTATTATTCCGAAGCAAAATCAAAGTAGGAATTTAGGAACTCACATACTCTGGTGACTTCCAATGTGTCTTTCTTGCTGCATAAATACAGAGTGCGCCCCAGGATTTTCTGGCACATCTCAGAGAGTTCTGAAGGTAACTGTTGATTCACATGAGATTGCTCTTACTCTGACTGCTCTAGGGTAACAAGAAACTTCCGGCTAGCCTTGAGCTGGGCTAGAGGATGAACGCTTCCCAACATTATGCCTAGTGATGCCTACTCAGAAACATTATGCCTCTAAATACCAACTGCTAGGGAAGAACAGCAGAAGAATACTATTGCCCACATGCCCTGCTTTGTGGGCTTTCTGTAGCTGTCTGGTTAGCCACTGAGAGAACAGAATGCTGTGCTGGATAAGCCTGTGGTCTGATTTCCTCAGGATTATTGTCCTCTTTCTGTTTTCTGCTTTTCTTTTTGCTTTCTTGGTGACAAGGGCTGTATTTAATTAGATGCCAGGGCTGAATTTGATGCAGCGACTGTTGCTCCACGTGCTTTTCAACATAGAACTGCCCCAGTCAGTGCAAATGGAGGACATGGGCGGGTATAGAACCTCCCTTCATTTCTGCCTTTGTACCTTGCAACTTTTCAAGTGCTTTTCTTATTTTCTCTTCGAGCTGTTGACAACTCATCTGATGGGCTTTTGAGAGCAGAATAATATGAGGGTGTGTGTTTTAAAATTAGACAGTGCTGTTTGTTATGCAGGAGGAGCAGTACTAAGATAACATGCCTCTGCGCATCTGAGAATCATATGGCCCTGCGTATTTTACCAGTATCAGCCTGGAGTTCTCCCACTGTTTCCAACCAGTGAATACATGTCTTATACAGTGGACGCTCGAGTTGCGAACGTGATCTGTGTGGGAGGCACATTCGCAACCCGCAGCATTCTCAACCCTCAGCGCCGCGTCTGCGCACGTGTGGGTTGCGATTCAGCGCTTCTGCGCATGTGCAAAGCTCGATTTAGTGTTTCTGTGCATGCACGAACGCTGAAACCCAGAAGTAGCCCATTCCGGTACTTCCGGGTTCTGCGCGGTGCGCAACCCGAAAACACACAACCTGAAGCATCTATAACCCGAGGTATGACTGTACTGGGTTATGCCATCTGTCTATGCATCCCAGCATTGTCTACTCTGATTGGCAGTAGTATTCCAGTCAGCCTTAGATTCACCTCAGCTGGTACCTGACCCTTTTAGCTAAAGATGTTGGGGATTCAACTTAGGCCCTTCCACATGGAAAGCACATGAGATATGACCCCTCTACTGCTTAATTTCCAGAGCTGACTTGAATTTTGGGGCGCTGCTTTGAAATTGCTTACGTCTGCATGCTTTCCCACATTCCTGTACGAGCCGTGCAACCTGTAATAATCCATTTGTAACGTACGTAATCCACTTCAAATGGACTGTTACAAGGACAAAATAACCCTCTGGCCCTCTCTTCTCCAAATGGATCTTGAGAGCAAAGGGCTTCCCCATAAAGCCAGTGAAAAGCATTATGTTCCATTCATACAATCCAAAACTTTGAAAATCAAAATAGCTGGCGAGGAACATCAACGCTGCTGGTATTCACACTCCACATTCTTTTGCCTGCTCATAATTACTAGAAAGTGCTCTTGCACTGAACTGTCAGACAACAGGCAACAGCGTTGATCACACACCGCTTTATGTATGTCCTACATGTGGATGAATGGTAGGACACAAACCAATGGCTTCAAGTTACAAGAAAAGAGATTCTGATTAAACATCGGGAAGGACTTTGACCGTAAGAACTGTTCAACAGTGAAACAGACTCCCTTTATGCTGCACCCTTAATTTGGTACTTTTATACTCCACTCTTTCTCATAAAGCAGGGTACCTGCCTCTACTACCACCCATTTTGTCCTCATAACAACCATGTTATGGTTAAAGGAAGCACTTCTGTTGTGCAGTTAGTCAGTGCGTCTTCCTGTGAACCATTGCAGGGTGCTGAATTTGATGACCCTTGGGGTCCCTTCCAACTCTACAATTCTGTGAATGATGTTGTTAAATAAAATGATAGTGTACCATTGGACAATCGAGTAAAAGGAAGGATATTCCTTATACTATGGACAGGAAGATTGTACCATTGAGCTCCATGTTCAGTGTTAGCTCCCTGCTTCAAAGGTTTTGCTTAGGAGCATGTGTCAAAAGAGGGAGAAGGGGAACAAGAAACGTCAAGCTATCCATGAGAGAAAATTTGAAACTTTTGTGTGTGTGTTAGTGTCCCTGCCTCCAGACAGCTCATCATTTCATTCCTATTTTGACCACATGGACAAAAAGCCTAAATTGATGGAGCATTGCCCATCCTATTCTTCCCAACCCTGCTTTGCCTGTATGACCTATGTGTCCCAGTGTAGTCACTGTTTATTGTATTTGCTTTTGTTCTACTGTGGCTCATATATTTATCAAGGTTTGTGAACCTCAGACCTTATGGCCAAATGTGGCCCTCTAGGCTTTCCTATCTGGCTCTCAAAACACACCTTACTGACCCTGCTTTGTATCCCGAGTGCTTTGCTTGGCTGGAATGTGCCTTAAACTCCCACAAGAGATTTCTGACAGTGTTGGTGATTGTGTTGTTTTTGAAGGAAGGAGTGAAAGTGAACTAGAGTCAAGGAGAGAGACAACAGTGTTCTAGTAGAGGCTTGCAAGCATGGGAATGAGGACAGCTTAAATCCACAATGTGAAAATATTGGAGCACAACTCAAGGCATCTGTAGAAAGCTTTGAAACACAAAGTTTAGGTTGGCAAAATCCCATGCGCATTGGTGCAGTTTGCTGATAAGCTCACAAAAATATGGACCTATATTTCCCAGATTTGGGTCTTTTAGTTGAAGCTTCCCAGTTCCGTTATAAATATAAATGACCTCAGAACTGTCAGGTTTTTGTAAACAGGAAAGTGCCACCAGAACCACTTGTAATACTTGGGATCTTTTTTTGTCTTTGGGTATGCTGCTACTTTAGACGAGGCTGGGTACTGTGATGCCCACTATTCATAGTCTTGGGGGTCATGTGATTATTTGCAGCTGCTCAGATAATTCTACCAGGATAACCCAGAAAGAATTTATAGAATGAAAACTGCACTGGATCAATGCTCGGGAACGTGAAATATTCTGTATAAGGACATCTGTCATTCACACTCCTGGTGTCCCCAGCACAAGTTTAAACTACCCCTTTCTTGAAAACGGCTTCACACATTGCACTTTTCATTCAGATGTGCAAGTGAACCACTTTATGTGTACCCAGGAACGTTCGTGTGTGGGCGTGTGTCTTCTCTTTGTGCATTATACAGCTCCAGGCTCCCTCTTGCATGTGCATGCTGTGGCATGTGGCCACCATGTAACATTTGAAGGGGCCCAGCGTCTCTAAGCCTATTCTGTACTTGGAAAGTATCAAGTACACTATTCAAGGATAACCATCTTTGGATTCAGACTTGGTGAAGGATTTATGGCCTGATTCAAGAACATGCCACAGCGGCAAACGGAATATTTAGAGGAAAGCAGGCTGCATACACGCCAGTGCAAGGTTGAAAATCAGCACATAATGCTGGCACAGCCACCACTGTACTTCAGATTGCAGGCAGTACTTCAGAGTAGACACTTAGGATGTGAATTAATGTGCTTAAATCTTTGTGCTAACGGAACAAAGAAGCTGATTAAAGGTGTATGGCAAGCATGAATCATACATAGTGGTGCCTAACGGAATAGTGTGTGTGTGTGTGTGTGTGTGTGTGTGTGTGTGTGTGTGTGTGTGTGTTAAACGAGTGGGTTTTGAGCCAGCAAATGCTGTCATTATGGCTACTTTTAGCAAGTGCTGCATTCTTGCTTCAGAGCAGTCCATTTCACATAGCGTTACAAGATTATTGCCTTCTGAGCTGTAGCTTGAAGCATTTTGGTTGCTTTTGCATTTGAACAACACTTAACTTTTAATGCTGAAATTCGTTTTTTAAAAAATGCTAAGGTCATCATATAACATTAAAAGTATAGTGTTGGTTTTTATATAGTGCCAGTAACATTGAGAGTACCATGAGGCTTCTAAAGTTTAACTATCCATCATTCTTGAAGAACATAGGAAGCTGCCTTATACAAGGAAGCAAGTGCCTTATAGCTCAGAATTGTCTCCACTAAATGGGCAATGGTTCTTGATGGTTTCAGGCAGAGATCCTTCCCAGCTGTACCTGAAAATGTCATGGATTTAACCTGGGACCTTCTGCAT